TGATACCGAGTGCTGAGTACCAGTGCTGCAGTGCCGAGTTCCGAGTTCCGAGTTCCGAGTGCCGAGTGCCGAGTGCCATGTTCGAGTGAGTGCCGAGTGCCCGATGCTTTCGGGTATTAAACCCTCGCTCTCAGGGCCTGTCAGAATTGATCATCATCTCAAACGGATGTGATTTGAGCGAGATATGAACAAAATACTATACCGGGTGAATTTTGGCATCAGAAGTTCAATGCTTTCGATGTTTTTGATGTCGGGTCTCAATGCTTTTGGGTATTGACATGTAGATAGCCCTCGATCTCAGGGGTGTGGTAAAATTCAGATTGTCTGAAACAGATATAATTTGAGTGAGATATATGCAAAATCCCATATGACTACCAAGTGCTGAGTACCAAGTGCCGAGTGCCGAGTGCCAAGTGCCTTCCGAGTGCTGAGTGTCCCGATGCTTTCGGGCATTACCACCCAGATAGCCCTTGCTCTCAGGGGTCCATCAGAATTTTGATTATCTCAAACAGATGTGATTTGAGTGAGATAGGAGCAAAATACTATATATCAGGTGAATTTCAGCATTGGAAGTTCAATGCTTTCAATGATTTTGATGTCGGGCCTCAATGCTTTCAGGCATTGATATGCAGATAGCCTTCACTCTCAGGGGTCCTTCAGAATTTGGATCATATTTTCGCATCAGAGTTTGATGCTTTCATGATTTCAATGTGAGGCCTAGATGACTGTGGTTCATGACATGTGGATAGCCCTTATGTCAGAGTTCACAGAATTCATATGGCCTCACATGGACAGATGAGGTAATGTAGGACATTCTCAACACATCAGAGACACATAAAAACACATCATAAGGCACTACATCATGTCTTCAATAGTCATACCTATGTGTAGTATGATAGTGTGATCTTTAATATACTGTTCAGGCTGACACTCATCAAGTATCACAGGTCTATTGTACAGACTTAGAATAAAATACAGTAGTCTTAACTTGATAGTCATTACACGATAGTCTTCACTTGATAGTCTAATATGATTGTTGATTACTACATAATACATAAGCTGTGAGGGTTAGGATTATTATGGAAGATATGACAGTCATGGTTATTAAGAAAGCTTATATTATGCCTAGCAAGGTTAAGACTATTGAGTTAAGACAATCATATCCTTAGTCTAGTAAGCACTGTCAAAGCTTGTGACCTTCTGGTAACCGTGTGGCAAAATCATATTTTGCTGATGTATATCTTGTGATTGTAACTTTCTTGCACCAGTGCACAGTGATTGCCTTGAATTTCGAGTTTTTTTGTATTTAGAGATACATACCACTGACAGATACTGTTTCAGGGACTGGAACAGTACACTGGAAGCCAATCTATCATATTATACATAGGTGTGATCATAGCAAACCTGATGCAGTCCCTGATGATGTGTTTTTATGTTTCTCCTGATGTTTTAGAATTTTTCCCACACAAGGCTGACAACAAAAAGATTGAACCTGCGAAGCTCAGACACACCCAATAAATTGTATTTTGCTCATATCTCCCTCAAATCATGTCTGTTTGAGGCAAAATATGATCCCCAACATCCCTTCGATAGTATATGCAATATATAAGGATACTAGGACAACAGGATTTATTCCTGTTGTGCTATGTGCTTACCCTTGGTGCAAGGCCTGACATCAAAATCACCTGATATATAATATTTTGCTCATATCTCACTCAAGTCTTATCCGTGTGAGACGATCTGAATTGTGACAGGCCCCTGAGATCAAGTTCTATCTGCTTGTGAATGCCTGAATGCATTGAGGCTAGACATTGCAAACATGGAAAGCATTGACCTTACAATGCTGAAATACACACAGTATATGGGATTTTGCTCATATCTCACTCAACTCTTATCCATTTGGGATGGGCTAAATTCTGCCAGACCCGTGAGATCTAGGGCTATCTGCATGTCAATGCCTGAAGGCATCGAGGCTTGATATCAATAACATCAAAAGCATCAAACTTCTGATGGTGAAATTCACTTGGTATATAGTATTTTGCTCATATCTCACTCAAATCACATCCGTTTAAGATGATCTAAATTCTGATGGGCCCCTGAGAGCGTGGGCTATCTGGATGTTAATACCCGAAGGCCTCGGGGCACTCGGCACTCGGAACTCGGCACTCGGAACTCGGCACTTGGCACTCGGAACTCGGAACTCAAAACTCAGCACTCAGCACTCGGTAGTCAGGATATACATAGTATGGTGCAAATATCTCACTCAAATTATATCTGTTTGAGACAATGTGAATTCTGCCACACCCCTGAGATTGAGGGCTATCTACATGTTCATGCCTGAAAGCATCAAGACCCGACATCAATAACATCGAAAGCATCGAACTTCTGATGCCAACATTCACCCGGCATATAGTATTCTGTTCATATCTCACTCAAATCACATCCGTTTGAGATGATCTCAATTCTGACGGGTCCCTGAGAGCGAGGGCTATCTGGGTGTTAATACCCGAAAGCATCAGGGCACTCGGAACTCGGAACTCGGAACTCGGAACTCGGAACTCGGAACTCGGAACTCGGAACTCGGCACTCGGCACTCAGCACACAGCAGAAAGCTTGATTGCAACACTGAAGGCACTGAGGTGGATGAGGGAACACCTCCTGACAGTGATTGAATGCCTGAACGCATCAGGGCACTCAGCACTCGGCACTCGGCACTCGGAACTCAGAACTCAGAACTCAGCACTTGGCACTCAACACTCGGGACTCATTCACCCTGTATCTTGGATTGTGCATATATCTCACTCAAATCATATCTATTTCAGACTATCTAAATTCTGATGAATCCCTGAGATCTAGGGCTATCTGCATGTCAATGCCCGAAAGCATCAAGAGCCGACATTAAAAACATCGAAAGCATCGAACTTCTGATGCCAAAATTCACCCGGTATATAGTATTTTATTCATATCTCACTCAAATCACATCCATTTGAGATGATCTAAATTCTGATGGGTCCCTGAGAGCGTGGGCTATCTGGGTGTTAATACCCGAAAGCATCGGGGTACTTGGCACTCGGAACTCGGAACTCGGAACTCGGCACTCAGCACTCGGCACTTGGTACTCAGCCCTCGGTAGTCAGTGTGTGGTATTCATTTGGCACTCAGAACTCGGCACTCAGCACTCGGTAGTCAGTATATACATAGTATTTTGCAAATATCTCACTCAAATTATATCCATTTGAGACAATGTGAATTCTGCCACACCCCTGAGATCAAGGGCTATCTACATGTTAATGCCCGAAAGCATCAAGACCCGACATGAAAAACATCGAAAGCATCGAACTTCTGATGCCAAAATTCACCTGGTATATAGTATTTTGTTCATATCTCACTCAAATCTCATCCGTTTGAGATGATCTACATTCTGACAGGTCCCTGAGAGCGAGGGCTATCTGGGTGTCAATACCCGAAAGCATCAGGGCACTCGGAACTCGGAACTCGGCACTTGGAACTCGGCACTTGGAACTCAGCACTTGGCACTCAGCACTCGGCACTCGGCACTCAGAACTTGGTTTTCGGCACTTGGCACTTGGCACTCAGCACTCGGTAGTCAGTGTGTGGTATTTTGCATATATCTCACTCAAATTATATCTGTTTTAGACAATCTAAATTTTGCCACACCCCTGAGATCGAGGGCTATCTACATGTTAATGCCCGAAAGCATCAAGACCCGACATCAAAAACATCGAAAGCATCAAACTTCCAATGCTGAAATTCACCCAGTATATAGTATTTTGCTCATATCTCACTCAAATCACATCTGTTTGAGATGATCTAAATTCTGACAGGCCCCTGAGGACGAGGGCTATCTGGGTGTTAATACCCGAAAGCATTGGGGCACTTGGCACTCGGAACTCGGAACTCGGAACTCGGAACTTGGAACTTGGAACTCGGAACTCAGAACTCAGCACTCGGCACTCAGCACTTGGGACTCGGCACTCAGCACTTGGGACACATTAAATCACATCTGTTTGAGATGATCTAAATTCTGATGGGCCCCTGAGAGCATGGGCTATCTGGGTGTTAATGCCTGAAAGCATCGGGGCACTCTGCACTTGGCACTCGGCACTTGGTACTCAGCACTCAGTAGTCAATATATTGTATTTTGCATATATCTCACTCAAATTATATCCATTTCAGACAATCTGAATTCTCCCACACCCCTGAGATTGAGGGCTATCTTCATGTCAATGCCTGAAAGCATCGAACTTCTGATGCCAAAATTCACCTGGTATATAGTATTTTGCTCATATCTCACTCAAATCACATCCGTTTGAGATGATCTAAATTCTGACGGGCCCCTGAGAGCGAGGGCTATCTGGGTGTTAATACCCGAAAGCATCGGGGCACTTGGCACTCGGAACTCGGAACTCGGAACTCGGAACTCGGAACTTGGAACTCGACACTTAGTGCTCAGCACTTGGTAGTCAGTATATTTTATTTTGCACCTTTCCCAAGTACATACCCTTAATTTCAGAATGAAGTCCAGATGAAATCCAATGAAGTCCGAAGGACTTCCGGAGACTGGCTACTCTGATGGAGTGCTGGAGGACTTCTGGATGAGCACAGGAACCTTCCGGAGGAGTATAGAAACTTCTAGAGAAGTACAGGAAACTCTGGAGGAGTTTCACCTGCTGCATAGGGTCCGAAGATAAGACTTCTGAAGGTAAGCTTCCTAGATGGAAGCACATGGAGGAGAGACTGCAAGGGACAGAGTCCAAAGCAGGATCAGATAGGAGGAGTGGTCCAGAGGACAGGATGCCTGAAGGTTGCGCCATCTGAATGTTCAGATGTCCAAAGGTTATGATGTCTGAAGGTCATGATGTCCAAAGGTTACAATGTCCAAAGGTTTTGATATCCAAAGGGTAAGATGTCCGGAGATCCAAAGGTCTGGAGGTCAGCAGGAGTGGACAGGATTATAGGACAGGAGAATAAAGACTACCATGGACAAGGTCTGGAGTAGAAGCAAACAGAGGTAGGCTACACTTAGGTGGAGTCGGAGATAACAGGAAGTAGACATAAGTCTTGGAAAGACAGGAAGTGCCAGAAAGGCAAAGGTCCAGCTTAAGGAATCAATCCTTAAGCTTGGATAGAGATGGAAGGACAAATCCAAAGGTTTGGAAGTCCAGCCTAAGGAATCCTTCAGGTTGGACTCGGATCTCAGTACACTTCACTTGATTTTGATATCTGGGACTCCATAGTCGGAACTTGAGTCTTGAATCTCGGGTGTTGGGTGTCGGTTGTCGGTTGTCGGGTGTCGGGTGTTGGGTGTTGGGTGTTGGGGTGTTGGGTGTTGGGTGTTGGGTGTTGGGTGTTGGGTGTGTTGGTGTTGGGTCTCGATGGTCAGGACTCAATATTTGGGACTCGTTGGTCGGGACTTGATACTCGATTGTTGGGATTCAATGGTTGGGCATTGGGTTTCAGGACTCAAATCTCGGGCTTTGGGACTCGGGTTTCAAGACTCGGTAGTCGGGACTCAATGGTCGATTGTCGGGATTTGATAGTCAGGGCTCGGATATTGGTACACTTCACTTGATTTTCGGTAGTTGGAACTTGGCATTTGGCATTTGGCATTTGGTAGGCTTGGATGATGTTGGCTTTCAAAGATCTATTATCATATATTGCTCAATGAAATACCAGACGATCGGAAGTGTGCTGGACATCACATATTCATTTGTCGAGACCCGGGTCTCGGAACTTGGTACACTTCGCTCGAGTTTCCACTTCACCCCTTTGCAAGGCTCCATGCCATACTACATCATTAGATGACTTTGAATTATTACCTCCATGATATACAACTAGCTGAGCTCCATCATGTCTACAATTATCATTCTCCTGGGCCCACCGTTTATATTATATACCCCTACGTCGGCCTACCCGTCTATGCAATATATGTCTACCATTGGCCCACCCGTATATAATAAATCTTTCACCGCTCCCTCGGCCCACTCGTCTACAAAATAATACCAATACGTCGGCCCACCCGTCTACAAAATAATATTAATTCGTCGGCCCACCCGTCTAATATGATATATATCTGGGCCCACCTGTCTATGTGATAACAAGCACCCTTGATATACCCGGCTATTTGATACATATCTACCTTGGTACACCCATCTACATAATATCCAACTACCTCGGCCGATCCGTCTATTGAAAATTCATGTCCATCGGCCCCACCCATCTACTTTACATATTCCCCACCTGGGCCAACCCGTCTCCATCGGGAATAATAACACTCCCGGCCCATCCGTCACAGTTGAGGATATATCTACCTTCGGCCCATGGTCCGCTGGCCCGTATCATACGGGATATTATGCACGTCCGTTCACTCGTATAATACGGAGATATGTTACTGCAATATGTGCGAGCAATGGGATTAACAGGACCGCAGATGAGAACAACAGCAGGAAAACCCTACCACTCAGCAAGCGCAGATCGCTAGAAGACAAGTACGCTACACAGCAGCCAATCAGACCCAGCCAGGACAACAAGCAATACACAGTGTACCCACACAAGAAGAACGTGACTTCTTACGGGCGCGAATCAACGATCTACCGCATCATGTGGATACAGATGCAGGACAAGCAGCCTATAATGAGCAAAGGAGACAGTGGGCAATGAGATGGGGAGAAGGAATGAGATGCAGCGAGAACACACCTTTCCCGTTAATGCCAGGCACAGCACAAATATGCTCAGGAGAGTGTTTCAGATGTGGAGTGCATGGACATATAAGTCCAGCGTGCCAATTACCAGCAGAGGCGCAACTACCGAAGAACGAAACAATATGGCGAGGCCTATGCACCAGGACGCTCGGAGCATTCAATAGAGCAACAGCGCTACAAGTCAATTACATGTTAGAGGAAATCTTCACCCCAGAGGTAGCAGAGCAGGGAAAAGGCCAAGGGTCATTGGTGTAGAGGACAACCAAACGACCCTAATGGATACAATACCTCAGGATAAAGAAGAATCTGTCCTCGCGTGCCAAGAGGAGACATGCGAGGACAAGCACCACACCTCCGTCGAAAACGCCAGCCATACAGAGTATGTCACTATGCAGCCCCATTCTAGTGAACATATGAGGTTATTGAATTGTATTTGACGGACGATGAAGAGACTCACTGCGAATGCCAACCGTTCCAGCAGTACATCTCACTTAAGGGAGCACAAGGAGAAGCTATACAAGTCAAAGCACTTTTTGATGAAGGCGCTATGGTCAATGCAATGTGTGCAGCGACATTCGAAAAAGTAAAACACCAACTGGGAAGCTGGGGAACATCGACGAAGAGATTACACATGGCGAATGGCACAGTTGTGCCCTCCAAAGCAGTATGGAGAGGCGAAGTGGTGATAGATGGAATAGGATCACAAGGAGAGTTCGAGGTATTCGAAAGTGGAGGCGGATGGAAGTTCCTGCTAGGGAAACCACTACTACGGGCATTCCGAGCGATACACGAATACGAGGCAGACGTGGTGCACATAACCGGGAAAGGAGGCTCAAGGACGATCTACAACCAAGGTCGAGAGGAAGACATAACGAAGAGAGAAGAGCATACCCTAACAAGAGAAGTCCCATCGCAAAATCAGAACACGCATTCAGAAACCTGTACTAATCAAAAGATAAGCCTAGAGAAGAACACCTCAGTTTGTGTCACAACAGACAACAAGAATGAAGCGACAGTCTTCACAAGAGTGACGGACCCAAAAAACCCGAAACGAGTAGCCTATATCATGAAGGCAGTCCAATACGGGGAAGCACTAACAGAGGAAGAACGCAAACGAGTCGAAGACTTAGTAGAAAGGTACGCAGACATATTCGCATGCTCACTCTCAGAAGTCCTCCCGGTACCAGGAGCCCAACATCGACTAAACATACCAGAGGACGCCACATTCAATCTACGAGTCCGTCAGCGAGCCCTTACGCCACGACAAGCCCAGTTCTTACATGGGCGGATTGACGAGATGTTAGCCACAGGAATAATCGAAAAGGCACCAGCAGAACAGGTCAAATGCTGTGCCACCATAGTATTAGCGCAGAAAGCACATGAACAAGGTGGACTCACATTAGAAGAGCTGCAGTACAAAGTCAACGAACAATACACGCAAAACGGTCAGCTGCCAGCATTCATGCTACCAGAACGCGAAGTCCAGGAAGCGCCACCAGAAGCGGTAGACAACAAGCCGCAGAAATGGAGAATATGTCAGAACTTTAACGAAGTTAACAGACATACCATTATAGCGCCAATGCCGCAAGGGGACATACGGGCCAAGCAACTAAGGCTAAGTGGACATAAATATGTGTCAGTATTCGACTTTGTGTCCGGATTTTACGCTGTCGAGGTTCCAGAGGAGTCCAGACCCTAACAGCCTTCTATGTAGAAGGATGAGGTTACTTTTGGTATAAACATATGCCAATGGGACTCACCGGAGCACCCACCACGTTCTGTGAGATGACCGCTAACCATTTACATGATTTAATTGCGGATACCACCATGGAGATCTTTGTGGACAATGGAGGAAGCGCGGGTGACACGTTTGATGAGATGTTTGAGAAGCTAGAACACATTTTTCAGCGTTGTCGGGACCGAAAGCTATCTCTATCACCCATGAAATGTCGACTCTTCATGACGGAAAACAATGTTTGCAGGAGCAACTGTAGGACCAAGAGGAGTTCAACCGGACCTGGAGAAATTAACTGCCATCGTAAACTGGGAAAGGCCAGCAGACGCACTTAACTTAGAGTCATTCCTAGGACTCACTAGCCATCTCAGGGACCTAGTACTAGGATACGTGAAGCGAGAAGGGCCGTTGCATAACCTAGTAAAGGAGGCACCATTAACACACCCATACACGAAAAATACGTACCGGTGCATACTAAGAAACCACAAAACTGGACAACCAATGGACGCAAGAGCACACTAAGGCATTCCTAGATCTGAAAGCCGCATTAGTAGCACGCCCTATCTTACAAGCACCAAAGTACGACGGGTCACCATTTGTCGTAACATCAGATGGGTGTCAGGAAGGACTAGCAGCAGTACTGTCACAACGAACACGAATCCAAAGACCATCAGGAAAGTGGATAGAACGCTTGTTACCTATAGCGTTCGCGTCAAAATGGACGTCAACCACAGAACAGAAGTACAAACCTTTCATACTTGAGTTCGCAGCACTGAAGTTCGGGTTGGACAAGTTTTCAGATATTGTTTGGGGGTTTCCAGTAGAAATCGAGACAGATTGTCAAGCCTTAAGAGATGTACTGTTAAGCAATCAGCTTAACGCAGCACATGCTCGATGGCAAGACGGAATCTTAGCACACCGCATAACGGATGTACGCCACGTGCCGGGTAAGTTGAACATCATAGCAGATGGCCTTAGCAGGCAATGGGAGGGCCAACCACGAAATGCAGGACTACAAGACGGCAGTACCTGGACAGTCAGTGAGGATTGGGAAGCAGAGAAAGGTTTTGTCAATGATATACTGGTACTAACCTCCACAATAGATGAACAAACGGTAAGAAGTCTCCTTGAACAATTCGCTAACGAATCAGTATTCCTAGAAGTTATAGAGTCAATAGCCCAGATCAACTCAAACAAACCACTAAGAGACCGGAAACGAGCGCAACATCGAGCATCGGAGTACCTAATTGAAGATGGGAAGTTGTGGAGATTGAGGGGAGGAACGACCGTTAGAGCGCGAAGTAGAATGGAATGTGTTACGCGGGAAGAAGCAAAGCAACTGGCAATGACACAACATGAGCAGAAGGGACATTGGGGAAGAGATGCTATCAAAATAGCACTCACAGATCAAATATGCAGCCCCAAACTTGACGCGTCAATCATGGAAGCTATATCAAACTGCGCTAAGTGTAAAAACTTTGGGTCACAACATTTGCACTCACTATTGGAACCCATAACACGCAGGCATCCTTTCGAGCTACTCGTTGGCGATTACTTGACGCTTCCCAAAGCCCGAGGGTACCACACCTTGGGTGTCTATCTAGACACGTTCTCACAGCATGTATGGGTCTTCAAGTACAAATCTTCAGGTACGGCGCGCACAACGATAAACAGCATATCGCAGATCTTCCAAACTTCACGTCATCGGAAACATTCATGAGTGACGGAGGAAAGCACTTCAACAACACGGAAGTGAAAGAATACTGCGCCAAGTGGTCATGCAAAACACACGTGGGTAGCGGCTTACTCACTTTGGATCAATGGACTTGTAGAAGGCACAAACAAAATCCTATTGCATGTGCTCAAACGTCTATGCGCCCCGAACTTAGGCGAAGACGAATACGAAGCAATATCATGGGATACACTGCCAAAGAGCTGGCCAAAGCATTTGGAAGAAGCGGTTGCAGCCTTGAACTATCGAATATTGCCGGCCTTGAAGTTCTCGCCGAAAGAACTTTTACTAGGACAAGTAATTAACACTCCAAGGACAGACATAGCTAACAGCGCGTCAGCATTAAGGATATCGGATGCCAACATTCACATGGCATACGTCGCACAACAACGCCTAGACGGATATGAGGCCACAATACAGCATGCCGTCAAGAGGAAAGAAGCATTCGATAAGCATGTACTATCGTGTTCACCAAGGGAAGTGATCTTTACGAAGGGACAACTGGTTCAATTTTATTTTAGCAGCGCACACAATACACTTGAAGCAAAACGCAAACTATTGCCGAAATGGTCACCTCCCCACCGAATCACTGAAAGGCTATGCAACTCGTACCATTTAGAACCACACAAGGAGAGCC